CAATTTTTGTTCTTGGAGAACAAGTAATGGAATTTGTCTTGAAAACATTGTCATTTCAAGTATGGTATAGATATATATTTAATAAAACAATTCAAAACCCAAAACAAATGTGGAGGGAAAGAAATTAAAATAGGCAGGGACTAATGATTTAAATGTTTTTCTATTCCCAAATAATTTCTAAACAATAAATATTCACATTTAGTGTGTCAATCACAAAACACAAATGAGCCATGTGGCTCCAATCCCCAGATATAAAATAAACATAACCAAATTTTGTTTGATTTCAAAAGTAGCCGTGTAAGTCATCAGCAAAACTTTCAATCATTTTCCTAAGATAATTGGTCCAGTTAGTCTTTTATGAAATCTGTCCTTGATGTCATATAATGATTTGTTCTTTATGGTTTATCAACCTTTTGCTGGTTAATAAGGCCAGGAAATATTTTTAGATGGTAAGAAATTTTGGGCGATGATAATGATTTGCTGATATTGTTCTACTAATTAACCCACGGTTGGGGGAGAAGAGGTGGAGTCATAGCTTTTCCAAAGGTATTTGCACATAAGTGAATGTAATGAACCCAACTGGAACTTGACTCTGAGTAATAATTCCAAGCCGTTATCCATTACACCACCCACGCATCCAACCTTACAGCACTTGATATTCCCAAGTGGTCATCTATCTAAGTACTGATCAGGCTCGACCTTGCTTAACTTCGGCAATTGTATGAGTATATATATATATTTACTTAGCTCAGCATGGTTTATAATGCAAGAGAGGGGAAACTGGCAAATTGACTTGCATCAATCTTCAAAGTACATACAACCTGCCTGCCCTAAAAATCAGCTTTCAAAGTCTTATCTGGGCTTGATCACTCAACTACCAATTCAGTTATTTCTTTTTTTGTTATGTTTTAAACATGGTTGATAGCGCAGGAAAGAATTTAAGTGGATCACAAGGTTTTCATTGTACAAAAATTTTCAAAGTTTTGTGGCATCCATTCTTAAATCTATCTTTACTAAAGGAGGAATTGAGAATTCACAGTATTTGTGTTGGCATTTTTTTTCTTCTTTTTTTTTTTAAACATATGACTTGGTTGATATACACTGTTGTAAAAATCCTAACACATATAGAAAGTTTTAGAAAAATTAATGTTTATCAAATCTATTCAGTACTTTCAATCATTTTTGATCTTTTAAGATAAAATATATTTTATAAGATTTAGCCAAAACAAAATTAAATATTTTTAACAAAGTTTTCTGTTTTGAATATACAAAACCAGTGTCTCGAACTTAAGCCAGAAAGTGCAAGAACAGCAGAATGAGTGACAGAATAAGAGTGATATATATATATATATATATATATATATATATTTTCAAAATTCTATCATTTTGTGAATACAATGTAGATTATCACATTTAACAAAATAAGAAACTGAACCAAATATAGATAACAACAACAACAAAAAAAAACTGGTTGTAATACTTGAAGAGAAACATGTCATTGTAAAATATTGTTTTCTTTATTTCACACTTTTTTTTGTTGCGTGCAAATTTTTTGAATATTTATAAGATTTTTTTTCTGGTGTGTGTGTGACCTAATAGACTAGAAAACAATGAAATGTTTACAGAAGATGCACATCCAAGTTTGTATGTGAAAAAAATGACTTTATAAACATTTGTATTTTTAACATTATCTAAGAATTAGAGAAGAGAACTATTTCAGGCATAATGGCCTGATATAAGATTCGCTTATTAGGGGTCAGCACAAGGCTAATTCCTTCATAAAAATACATTTTTCTAAATCTGTCATGAAAGTTCTCATATCAGAGCAGTTTTGATATTCACTTCTATCAATTTGTTAAACTTGGGTGCTTTTCTGAAGGAGTTTTAAAAAAAAAAAGAAGCTATTAAATGATGACTGGCATTAAGATCAACCTGAAGAACCTGAGCTTGAATGGTTTGATAAACACAACAGAAAATGTCAGCTTGGAAAATGTGTGGAATAAGGAAAATGCTTCAAATCAAAACTTTACTTAGTTTCGTCTTCTTTCCCATACAAAACGTGTTTTACAGTTCATTGCATGGATATTAAGCAACACTGCAAGAAAACAAAAGATTAACTCTAAAATGAATTTAGATGAAACAGCAGTTGAGAAATGTTTTCTTTAAAACCAATAACCAAACAGTAAATGCTAAAATTTATATAGTATCTACACATTACTGTTGATGATGACCCAAATTTAATGTGTAGGAACAAAAAAAAAAAAGAAAAAAGCAAAGTAATATTGTCTGTAAGTATTTAATTTTGTCTTCTACTTGATGGCAGTCAAAGCCGTAAAAACAACGGTAAGAGAATGGCAATAAACAAATCTGACTGTTAAAAGTTAAAATAACAAATATGCAAATCATAGCATTATGGATTTGTATATATGAATGGTGAATTCGTTGATTTGCATTAAAATAATTGTCAAATATTTTTGTGTAAAAAAAAACTAAACAAAAACAATATAGTAAACATGCACCTTTGTGCCCACAATAAAAAAGTCAAAAGGACAGTTTTTCCCATGAAACTGCTTTTATTTTAACTACCTTCACTCTCTGGCAATGTTTGTTTTAAAAAGCGATAATTGGAATTATAATAAAACTTAAACATAAGATGAAAGTGAATTTATACATTTTTTTTCCCTTGAGAATTTAAAATAAAAATATTATTTATTAGATTATTTATTTATTTATTTATTTATAAGAATAATTTTATGTTTACAAAATTTTTTAATTTAAAACAATTGTATTAGAATTAATTCAATGCAATACTTATTTACCAATTTATAAAGAAACAAATGTGAAAACTATTTTTTATTCATAAATTTATAAACATTTATTAAATTATTAAAATATGTGAACCAACTATAAAGAAATCCTTATTATTTACAATTTTTATAAAGTTTGAATCAATTGGCAATTAACCAATGTTTTTTCAACCATTCCAATAAATAATATAACAAATGGTGTAAATAAACAATTGAATAATTAAATAGCATTTATTATTTTTGTTGATAATTCTCAAAAACAAAGCAAATGTATAAATTCACTTTCATATGTTTAGGTCTTATTACAATTCTAATCATCACTTTTTAAAACAATAAGCATTGCCAAAGAGTGACGGTAGTTAAAATAAAAGTGGTGCCATGGGGGAAAAAAAAAAATGTCCTCTTGACATTTCATTTTTTGAGTGTATGAAGGTCCATGTTTGCCAAAAAAACAAAAGTGAAAATTTCTAAATTCATTTTTAACAAAAATTTTTTCCCTGGAGAAAAAAATAAAAACAGAAATTTGAATACTTAATTCTGATCAACATTGAATTTTATCAATAAAATTTTTATTAGATTAACTGTTTCCATAATACGTTAGATTGTCCGAGTAACATAACCAGTTATTTCCTTTCAGATCTCTCAGAGCAAACAGGGAGAGGGTATTTTTTTTAAAAGAGTAAATAAGACAATTATCGAAATATTTGGCCATGATACAGGAAGCACAGTTCTCTCTGATTTGTACACGAGTGTGTCTGCATATATTTTGCAAACGGTGCACAAAAGATTAGTTACTTCAAATAATGAAGTTATTAATAATTACTTTAATAATAAATAATACTTTTTAAAAAATAATTTCCCATGTAATTGTTTTTTTAATCAGTTGATTTTTTTCAACTACCACAAACTGTACAACACCAAGTTGACATTTGCACACATACACTTTTGTTAGAAGAAAGCAAGTTGCACAACGTAAGAATTTTGCACACATTGACAACTATAAATTAGAGGGAATATTGATGAGAAGCCCCAAGTTTGGTTTTGCAACAAAACATTAATAATAATTCAAGCTTTACAATGATGTCATCAAAATAGAATGGAGACAGCTCTAATATCTAATCCCACCGAATCAATGGGTGATTTCAGTAAATATTGCTGTATAGATTAGAATAACTAAGATTTGAACTAATTTCATTTGAGTTACCTCCCTTGAACACTATATACGACGCTAACTGATGCAAAAGATAAAAGGTTAAACTTTTTTTAAAGATTCAGTTTCATTTATTATAAATTCAAGTAACAAATAAAACTGAATTTAGAAAATTGTAAATAGATCATATTTTGCTAGCATATAAGATGATAATACTAATTTCAAATTACTTTTTTTTTTAATTAATAATTTCTGAAAATTTTATTGCTACAATAAAAAAAAAAGAAGAAAGGGTGCTGAAAACTTCTTGGCCCAAGATGTCCTTAAAAAAAATAAAAATAAAATTCTGATGTTTGGTTACTTGGGCAAGTGGGCTCGGCTGAGAAATTTTCATAACATTCCCACATAGGTAGGCAGAAAAATATTAAATTGAAAGGCCATAATTTATTTACTCCTATTTAAAGAAATGTTCACTTATTTTTCTTTTGGTAAAAAAAAATAAAAAAACTCAATAGGAAAATATTATTCAGTTTATTGAACTCATTCTTTGTGCTGCTTTTGTTGTAAAGCTAGCATTTTGGCCTAAACGTTCTACAGCCTTCTCCAGGGGTACAATCAGAAATCACCTAGTCCATGTAGCTTATGTTGCTGGGAATGATCCAAAACAGTTAATATATTAGCCATCTTTTTGTTTTCTGCACATCTTTTCAGCAGCCATTCTTTCCTTACAGTTTGTATAACCTGAAGAAGGCTGTAAAATAGATCTGCCAAAACATGTTATCAACAAAGAATGAGTCCAAGAGACTGAACAGGTCTTGAAATGCTAATGCTTCATCACAGAATTATTGACAGTAAGAAAAGGCTTTTTCAAACAGTTCCTGCCCAATGTACTTGTTTCATACTGCCAAGCATCTGTCACCCATCTTAGCTTTTCTTATTGGTTGATAAATAAAAGCCAGAAGGGATTTGGAATGTTGAAAACTAAGCAGCTTCCATGATAACAGATTTTTGTCTTTTTTTTTTTTCCCCTTGGCTCTCACTTTTCATACTCTGTTCTCATGTGTATCTTTGGCCAACTGTACAGTTTGAATAACTTGCTCAATGAAAGGACGTTCCATTAGATTCACAGCCATCATCATTGTTATCGTCTCTTCCAACTGTTTAGAGTACCTGTTTAAGAAAAAGGAAATTATTTAAAAATAAAAATACACTATCAACAGAAAAAGTTTGTTTTACAGCATATCAACCTCAATGGGTTATTTAATGCTGACAACTTTTTTTTTTCTGGTAATATTTTGTTTTGTCAAAAAATCTATTTCTGTTAATATTTTTTTCCTCCAAAATGTATAGCTGGTAATATTATTTTTTCAAAAATTTATAGCTGGGAATAGTTTTTTTTCTTCAAAAATCTATTTCTGTTAATATATTTTCCTCAAAAATGTATAGCTGGTAATATCATTTTTTCAAAAACGTATGGCTGGTAACATTTTCTTTTCTTCAAAAATTCATTTCTGGTAATAATGTTTTACAAAGTTTTTCTGGTATTAAAACCTATTTTTACACTTTCATAATGCTTTATACCTCAGTTTTGGGCTTAACTATTTGCCCATAGCTGGGACCCTAACAGGTGCTACCACCCCGGGTCAGGACCTGGGAACACCAGCAATTAAGAAGAGGTTCCACGCTCCTCAAAGCCTCCTGATCAGAGGCTTTGCTGTTGGACGTAGTTTATTGTCTTACCCTGGATGCGGATGTACTTTATTGTTATACCCAAGATGAACAGAAAAGGGGTACACTACCAATCAGTCATTACAAACCTCTTTGTAAATTAAATAAAAAAGAAGCCAGGAAAATTTGTATGTTGATTGCTATCCAAGGTTGAACTGTTGAAAACTGAGTTTTGATATTTCTCATAAGTGATAGTGATTACTAGGATTGATTCATTGGTTGTATATTGCTTAATGTGCTTATCTCAAAAGCTATACACAGCTTAATTTCATCAGAGTTCACAAGAAATTCACTCAGTCCATGAAATAACCATTCATTTATTAAAAGATATTTTTTAATACGAAAAGGCTAAAATATTGAGATTCTATGTCGATGGTGATTTTAAGAAATAATTGAGAATTAGAAGGATTATAATAGAAATACAAGTTGTGAGCAGAATCATGTGGGAGTGGTGAACCCAGAGAAAAAAAATGCATTTAGCATCCCCAACAAAATTGTCAGTATATGAAGAGCTCTAAATTAGAGTTAACCAGTTGAGAAAGCAGTGGGGGAATCACTAGCCTGCTAACAATTGGTCCATGACAAGCATCCCTAAAACAAAATGTTGGGTATTCAAATAGAATAAGGACCTGGTTTCATCTTCCAGAAGTGCCCTATTCAGGAGTGTGTGAAATTTACTAAAGTAATCTCTTTCCAACTGACAAAGTTTGGTTTGGCTTATTTTGTTTTACGGCATATCAACCTCAACGGGTTATTTAATGCCGACAACATTTTTAGGATAGATTTTTATGAATAGAATATGTATTCTTTGGTTTAGATTGGTTTGGTTTATTTTGTTTTACGGCATATCAAACTCAATGGGTTATTTAATGCTGACAAAAATTTTTATTGCTGGTAATATTTTTTGTCAAAAATCTGTTTTTGGCAATATATTTCCTTCAAAATTTTATTGTTGGTAATAATTTTTTCAAAAAAGTATTGCTGGTAATAGTTAACTATTTGCCCATAGCTGGGACCCTAACAGGTGCTACCACCCCTGGTCAGGATGGACCTGGGAATACCAGCAATTAAGAGGTGGTTCCACGCTCCTCAAAACCTCACTGCTGGACGTAGTTTAGCATCTTACCCAACTGACAAAGTCTATCCGTACAAGCAGCAACATGTTCACAATCGAACTGTCTATTCTCTTTTGCATTGTGTTTTTTATGCTGAGCTGAAATCGCAGAAAACTTGCATATGCCCAACCACTCTTACCAATTCTCCTAACTCCAAGATCGTGTCTTTCTTAAATTAAGGTGTCAGGGTGGCCATATTTATTTTTCCTTTTCTTCACTCGATTTGCATGCCAAGCATATATGTGCTCCCTTTGCCACACAAAGTAAGTCATCTCCTCTTCTACAATGAGCATGAATTATAATGAAGAGCTTTAACTTAAGGTTAACCAGTTAAAAAAAAAAAAAAAAAAAATCACTAGTCTACTAGCAATTGGACCATGACAAGCATCCCTAAAACAAAATGTTGGGTATGCAAATAGAATAAGTATCTGGTTTCATCTTTCAAAAGTGTGCTGGTCAGGAGCCTGAATTATAATTTGGCACAAGATAATTGTGTTTACTGTGAATCATGACTATATTTAAATTATTTCCCCTAGCATTGGGAAATTTTAAGGTTCAAAAGGTACCAAGAAAATTTTCTTAAATCTCTACAACATATTGAAAATATCTGGAAAATCGTCATTTGTCACAGATTGTAATAGCAAACAAAATTATTCTACAGTGAATTCTTAATATCGTTAATTAACTCTTTCACCTACCAGTTATTATATTAATTAAAATGTATTAAATCAAAGTTAAAAACATTAATTAAAACTGGTTATTAAATAGAAAAACATATGAAAAAAATCTTATCTAAGTTGTTTGTATTTTCACAGATTGAGGTTTATGAAGACAATGTGATGCAAATTGAAAAAAAAAAAAGAGAGAAATAAATAGATAATAGTTACCCAGAATTCTCTGGGAATTTTACATTTCCTCCAAGCACAGCAAGAGCAATGCTGTTTCCTCTTTGGTAATCTTGCTCAAATGGTGATTCCAGAAAGGCTAAAGCATATAGCAGACATCCCAATGACTGAAACACACACAAACAAATAAAATAAAATTATCAAACAATAATAGAAAGATCAGAATTAAAAACTTTTATTTTGTTGCGAACAGTTTTAACATATATATATTTTTATTAAAGAGAAGAGAGAAGCTGCAAATGTTTTGGGTTATAACATGGATTTTTTAAAAAAATATATATTATACTTTATTTCCCATATTTTTTGTTACATGTGTTTTGGCTCTTGCAACCTTCATCAAGTGAAGAGTGGTTATTTTCAGATATTATTTAAAGGAATTAATTTTTTTACTATTACACATAAAAGACAATGGTCAAACATGGGAAAACATAAAGAAAAGATCAATTCCTTTAAATAACACGTGGACATAACTGCTCTTTGCCTGATGAAGGTCACAAGACCCAAAACACATGTAGCAAAAAAAAAAAAAAAAAAAAAAAAAAAAAAAGGGGGAAAATAACGTATAATATATATTTTAAAAAATCCACATTATAACCAAAAACGTTGGCAGCTTCTCTTTTCTCTTTAAAATATACACTTTTCTCTCGTTGGAACCACCCCCAAGCAAGGCAGTAATGCCACTAAATCACAAGGTGTTACAGGCCGTAGAAGAATTATAAACAGAGACAATAATGATGAGTAGAAAAAGAAGAGAATAATCAGGTGGACAGTAGATGGCGATTGACATTGCATTTAAATTTTTGCAGATTAATGTTGGCTGGAAAGCATGGAGCCAGAAGGGAGTTCCACAAGCAAGAAGTGTGAGAGACGAAATTGTTAGCATAGAACTCATGGCTTTATCTCGCCAACTCGACTGTAAATTGATGAGATCTTGACACCAGTCTAGTACTGTGCTTAAATTTGTGAAGTCGAAGTACCATACTGAAGAGCTCATTTGAATAATTACCATGAAATTTTATATATATATATATATAAAATGTAAAAGTATATGTGTGTGTGTGTGTGTGTGTATATATATATATATATATATATATATATATATATATATATATTTATAAATATATATATATATTAAAGGTTTCACCCCAAGCAGGGCGGAAGTGCCACTAGCTTGCAAGGGGTTTCAGAGAGTAAGAGTAAAGAGGGGTGTTTGAGGAAAGGATAAAGAGGAGGACAGGGATCAGGATTAAGGCATCAGAAGATGTCGATTGACATTACATTTGAATGTTTGAAGATTACTGAAATATTTGTTAAAATCGTACATGTTAAAAAGTCCTCAATTTCAAGTAGGAAAACCAAACTTTATTTATTTATTTTTTTTTTTTACCCACTACAACTCCGCCCATTACTTCTGGTATCGAATGAAGGCATTTAAATTCTTGCACTTCCTCTGATTTGTTGAACAAACCACCTGACGAGACCTTGGTGGTCAAAACCACGGTAGTGCTCTGGTATCATTCTCATCTTTTAAGAGTTTATATATATATATATATATATATATATATATATATATATATATATATATATATATATATTTTTAAAATGGACAAAGTCTGACAATTTATTTATTAAAGACATTTTATGTTTAACGTTCTTTTTTATAGATACAAGTATTTAAGTAAATGCTCTGTTTATAATAAACAGTATTAAATAACATTTACTGGCCTGAATGTCCGAGAAATTTTCATAGAAAATATTCGTCCTTTGACAGGATTCGAACCTGCATCCTATACAGAACCGTCATTTACGCTGACGTGCCTTAACCGACTCGGCCACAAAGGAGCGTTCGGTATCTATAAAAAAGAACGTTTTATATATATATATATATATATATATATATAAAAACACATTATTTTAAAACTAGTCTCTCCATTTTTTTTTCTTATACTCTCTTTGCTCATCAAATTGTAAGTTTTTGGAACTTGAGAGGGGAGACATTTGCATCCAGTAACAGAAGGATTTGTTATATTGTGTAGCAATGCCTATGACACTTTGGCTATTGAAGCCATTGTGGTCAGGTGTACATTTTTTATCTTTCTGCCACATTTATACTCCAATATATTTCAACAATTTTTACAGACTACACTACAGTAGCAATTACAGTTGAAGTTCTTGTACATTTATCTCTTGTTTTTTAATGGAACATTTTTATTCGCGAATATAGATTTTATTCTTGGGAAATAAAGTTCTTTTCCTGATGATGTATAAATTCTCATTCAAACATTGAGGCAGCAGTTCTTCCTTGATATAGACATAATAAAAAATCGTTTGTATTTTTTAGTTAACTTATGTTGCTTATGTACAAGAGAACATCTTATGGGTTAAATGAGTTGAGATCTTGCATGAATGTTTGTGATCGAGAGATTTCAATCACACTTATGGTCATTTTCAAGATCCATCATTATATAAATGTATTGATTCTCACTTATTTACATTTAAAACTGTGTTGGACATAATACTTTATAGTGATGTCATGAGCAAAAGTCTTCATTGCCTAAAAAATACTATGTTCAGTATTAAAGGAAATTTTATTTAGTTTTGCAGTTTTTTTTTATTTTATAACCATAAAATAAAAAAAACTGCAAAACTAAATAAAATTTCCTTTAATATTAAGGGCTTCTAGTATTTGGAGTCATTTTTTACGGTTAATATTATATAGTATACATGTTCATTTTATTGATATTTTTATGTTGGTTAAGGCCTTCTTGTGACCATGTGAGGTCTCTGTTTGTGCATGAAAACACCCTTTAGGAAGTTTGTGGTTTAGGATTTTACTGGCACACCAACCTCAAGGGTCATTTTGTGCTAAATCAGGTAGTTTTAAGATTCATTTTTATTTTGTGTTTATTTTGCAGACAAATTCTTTTATAAGACATTATTATATAAGAGAGTAAATGTAATTCGGTTTTAGTTGCATTTTGTAGCTGGGTGTTTATTCAGTTTTCTTTTTAAATTTTGGGGTAGAGTTTTGTTACTTTTAAGAATGGTTTTGAGTTCAACACTCACAAAGTGAACCATAAGGTTGGGTACATTGTAGAAGTATTTTTGTATAAGTGCCAGTTTTTTGCAGCTAATCAAAAAATGTTTTAGAGCAAGTACTTCTTGACAGTTTGGGCATTGGAGAATCTTTATTTTTAGGAGGAAGGAATGGGTTATGTGGGTATGTCAGATTTTGATTCTTGTAAGTGTGATGTCTTTTCTTGAGTGTCTAGTACTGTGATGTACAGTCAGAATGGGTTTTATTTGATATAGGTTGTCATTTGTGTGTGTATTCCATGATTTTTGCCATTGGTTGAAAACGTAAGAATTAATTGTGGCTTTCAAGTCTGTAAAGGAGATTTTTGAATTTGATATGTTCATTGTGAGGGATTCCTTGGCCGTCTTATCAACCCTGCTATTCCCAGGGATCCCAATATGGCTAGGGATCCAACACAATTGGATGTGTTTTTGATTGAGCATTGTGTTAAATCTATTCAGGAGTTTGGTGATTAGTGGGCTTGTTCATATTTTTGCTATTGATGGCTGTCAGAGCCTGAGAGAATAATAAAATGGGTTGATCTGTTCTCACTTAAGAGGTCCAAGGTTAGCTGTATGGTTGTATGAAAATTGAGGCATTATTTGGCAGTCAGTTTTTTCATTTTTGTGTTTTCTAGAATGGCAGAGCATCCAACTGTTAGAATCTCTTGACCCATTTGGTGTAGACTTGGTTGTAATCAGGGTATTCTTGGAGGATATTGTGAAATTCTTCCCAGAAGATGGCGGGTCAGTATTGGCTTTTTGGTGTTTAGCAAGACTCATTAAGATTGTGAGTTGTTTTAGTAACCATGTGGGGGAGGGGGTTTTGTCAAGTTAGATTCATGAATTATGATAATATCGATTTGAACTTCTTTTGTTAGATTTTCCATGGACAGTCCAAAAGTTTTGGTAGCTTTCTGGGAGTAGGTATGTTTACACTGTGGGTGGAACACACATTTGTAGATTGTATTGTTTGGACATGAGTATAGCTTGGTGTAGTATTTTAGTGCTAGTTTTTGCTGATGATGAGTTAACAGCATCTAACTAGCTTCAATGTAGAAACTTTCAATTGCAGTAGTGCTGTAGGCCCCAGGGCAAGGCATAGTTTTTGGTGGTGAGTGGTGTTTAGTTTATTTAGGTAGGACTTCCTGACAGCACCATAAATAAGGCATCTGTAGTCTAATTTGGAGCAAATTAGAGTTCAGTATAATTTTAGTAGGATTGGTTTATCAGCTTCCCCATTCAGTATTGGCAATAATGCGTAGTAATTGGATGTATAGATGGCATTTTTGTTGTAAGTATTTAATATGGGGGATGAAGATGAATTTTTATCAAAGTGAATTCTAAGGTATTTTTGTGTGTCTGTAATTTTAATCTTTTTCATTGAGGTTAAGGGTCAGATCATTGTGCGTTTTTCTTTCTTTTTTTTTTTTACAGAAGTGGACAAGCTGAGTTTTTGCTTTCAGATATACTGAAACCATTTCAATGACTGATTTGTTAACTGTTTATGCATTGTTGTTGCTGTCAGTCAATAGTGTGCATATTTTTGGATCTGTAGCCAATTAGAAAATCATAGAATGAACAGTCCATTCTTGGATTTACACATGTAATTATGTTGTTGATTTTTATATTGAATAAAGTTACAGATAGTATGCTGCCTTGAGATACACCTTCTTGGTTCTTTTAAACTGAGAGGGTGGATCCTACTAGTACTTAGAAGTTTTCTGTTTATTATGAAACTGTGTATGACTGTAGGTAGTTTCTCAGTCAGAGGTTGTGTAGGTCTTTCATGATTCCATATCTCCAGGTTCTTTTGTAAGCATTTTCAAGGTTGAAGAAGATAGTAACTGCATGTTCATTTCTTACAAAGGTATTTCTTATAAAAGTCTCAAGGTGCACCAAATTGTGTGTTATACTCTTTTGCATTCTGCCATACCTCACACATATTGGTCTTCTTGTACATCTTTTAGGTGTCAATATTTTTGACAATTGTGGCACCTTTGGGTAATTAAGTATTTTTCAACTTTTGCTATCAAATAGCCAATTTTTATTTCAGGTGGAGGTTTTTGGTAGTTCAAAAGTCAAAATTTAGGTATTTGTATTTATTGTTCCTACTTTTTATGCTTATTCTCCTCAAATCAATCACACCTTATTTATTTCATTTTTGTTTCCATTATGGAACACAAGACAGATCCTTGTTCCAAACCACAACTCTAGAAATGTTCAGGCATTCATGGGGGTAAGAGTTAATGTTTATATTGTGAAGTTTTTTTTATCCTCAGAATAATTGACCCTTCAGCCACAGCCCTGTTTCAGGTTTTTGCAAGAACATGAATGAGGGCTGACATGACTAGCTGGTTATTGGATTTTGCCTCTCCAACTGCCCATCTAGTCCAAGTAAGGGCCAAAATGGAGTGTTGTGGTTTGTGAGACCACTTTGGCATCCAGGTCACGATGATACCATCCTCAGGCATCGCAGGTTGCTCTCTTGGGGTACTTTAACTCCCTGCAGAGGTGCAGTCAGTCGACAGGGTGGGAAGTTTGTGGGATTAAAACAAATAAAGCCGATGAGAATAAGGATCAGAATGAGCTGAGATTGATTATAGCATCTTAATTAGAATCTGTAAGTAATAATGGAAAACAGAACTAGATTTAATGCTGGCTTAACTTTGCAGAATTGAGTGAATCTAATAGAACTAAAATTTGTCCAATCCCACTCTGGCCTGCTTAGTCTGGAGTTGATATGAGTAATGCTTTCTTAGATAATATGTAAGTCAGTCAATGTAAATAAAGATGTTTACATTTTATCCCATTTAACTAATTCTATACTGAATTATAGGAAGAATAAAATTCTGGGTCTTGGGCGACTTGTCAGCATTAGGGGTATCTGGTTTTCACCCAAAGAAAGAATGTTAAAAACTTGAGATGAATTACAATAAATTAGTTGTCCATTAATGTCAGGATAAAAGCAAATTATCTATTTAAGGAATGCACATGGAGCAATGAGAGAAGGCCAATCAAAAGACTTGAAAGTCAACAAACAATGTAGACTGTGAATGAATAAGCACACAGATACAATTACTACACAGCATAAGAGAATGCCTGCCATAAGTCACAGTATATTTTCTTTACTATCCATAATTCTTATAATAGACAAAGTTGTTGAATGCTAAAAAGGTGTTGGGACCAAAAGATATCCACCAAGGAAACATCAGGTTGAAAAAGTGTTTACATCACACCTCAAATCTATGGGCACAATATTAAATTAGATAATCTGACAATTTGTGAGCTGTTGAAACTGGCCAAACCACCATTATCAAAGGTATAAGTGTCAATAGATGCAGTCCCACATATAATTATATCATGGTCACGTGATATATGTATAGATTCTGCTATCATCCATGAGGTGGCAAGTTAATCTCCAAGATAGAGTGGTTGTTGTATGCTTTACATATGATATTTGTGTATCATTGTGAGAGCTAGCCTTGTTAGTGATAATGAGGTTAGATGATTTTAATTGTAATAAGTTATTAATCTAATTTATCTAATACTTTAAGATGGAAATGTGTACAGGCATGAGATGATTTTAATGGCTGCTTTATTGCATTTAGTTTTTGTGTATTTCATTACAAGGGAACAGATTTGTTGAGTTTATTACTTGTTATTTTTATTCCATCCAAGAAAGAAAAATTCAAAATCATCTTACCCAGATGTCGGTTCGTTCGTCGATGTGTGCTCCATATTCCACATTAAACAGCTCTGGGGCACGATATTGCATTGAACAACGTTCAGCTGCAATATCCTGAAGCAGAAAGTAAAATAAAAGCTTTAAAAAAGAAAAAAAAAAAGTACTGAAGGAAGAGCAAATGTTAGAATTTCCCTTTTTTTCATGAACTAAAGGCAGAAGAAAGTAAGAAGTCAAATAATATGAAAATATAGACAGATTTTTTCAGTAAAGCCACTAAGATATTGAATTTTGAAAAGATATGAGAAAAAGAAAACATTATTAATGAGAGTGAACAGTAAAAGAACAGCAATTAAAGACAAGATAGTGAGTGACATTGCATTTAAATTTTTAAAGATCAAACGAGTAGCCATTTCAAATGTAAAATGATGAGACCATGTTGCTAATCTAGTACTTTGCTTAAAAAAGAATATGTACCATAGAACAAAACTCATCTGAACAGTTACTATGAAAGTGTTTCTAGAAAAGGCACAGGGAAGCTACATTATGTTGGTGGAAATGTGACTGAAAACAAGATGAAAGGTCAGAACCAATAAAAATAAAGCTTCTTTGGATTTTATCAAGAATCTGTAAATCCATAGCAGAAGCAGCAGGCCAGATATGGCAGCAATATTTGAAGCAGGGACAAATGGTAAACTTATAAATGTATAAGATTCTCAACATCCACATAGTAATATCTATATTTCTTGAGATTCCTTGTTTGGAAGTCATATTTTCTGTTTGTTTACAAATGCGCAATATACATAATTTGTGCATATGTGCAGTTTGGTTTGTTTGTGAGAAATGAAATTAAGAAAATTTGATCTTTAATTTCTTTTATTGTAAATTTAAACCAATGATTTTAAGCTATAAACAATGGCTTTAAAAGAATTTAAAATTATCATTTCCCTTCCATAATTGAACAAGGATGGATGTATTTTGTACTTTTATATGGATTGTCCCCTTTTAGTACATTTAGAAATTTCCCTTTTCCAAATAATACATTATACAGGGTGTTTCAAAAGTCTGTGTCACATTACAACACTAATCACTATTGAGAATTTCAAAATACAATTTATATTTTCTGAAAACCACTATTTCCACATTTCTATAAAGGTTTTTATTGGGGTTCAATGTGAGCAACACAGGTTATATGACGCACATCTAAATGATAATTGAATTCTTGCCAAACGAGACAAAGCATAGCATTGTCGACAGTTGCTAAGGCTTCTGTTATTCATGTCTTCTGATCACCCATGTCTCTGAGAAGGGGAGGTACATACACAAGGCCTTACACATACCTTCAGAGGAAGAAGTCACAAGCCGTGAGGTCTGGATATCTAGGTGGCCATTGCAGGAACACGCGATCAGTCTGTCTGGAACGTCTGACCCACCTGTCAGGCAGAATGGTGTTCTGATACTGTCTAAGACTCCAGTGAGGTGGTGCCTCATCCTGTTGGAAAATGAAGTCTGCAGACACCTTCTCATGCACTTTTTACATCTACCAATTTTGCAGCCTGGCAAGGTACATTTCATCATTGACTGTTCCTCCTTCAAAGAAGAATGGTCCAAAGACACATTTCTTTAACATGGCACAAAACACGTTTACTTTAGGGAAATCTCGTACATGCTCAAGAGTCACATGAAGGTTCTCAGTTCCCTATACATATGTGTTATGCTTGTTAACTTTGCCATTTATGTGGAAGGTCGTCAAATCCATCTTTTTCCAACCTCTCTAGTATTTCTGTACAAAATTCATGGTGAGGATTAATTAAATTAAAATTAAATTAACAGAAGAAAACTTGACACTTTTCAGCTTTTAAATGGTACCAGTTGAATCATGCTATCATTTGTAGTTCACGATATAAGAGTTCTTAGAATTTGACAGACTTTTGAAACACACTGTATTTGAGGGATTATTTGTTCTCAGTGTTCAAGGGCAAAATGATAAATACAATTAAGAATTTAAATATATTTGTTTTAAGATTTAACATCATTTTAGATGTCATTTCAAATACGAGTAGACTTGATTAAATAAACTTGAAGACGGAATTTTCAATGCCTGTCCTTTAAGAGAATAAATAAATTTATCCCAACTTATACAGTTAGATGATCTAAACTTACTTGCAGAACACGTGCCTCTTGCATTGTCCGTATTTCTACTCGGGCAGGGGCTGCAGAACCAAGGTCCATAATAATTGGAGAATTGTCATCAGCAAACATTACATTGGCTGGCTTTAAATCTCTAAGCAGAAAGGAAAAACAAAAAATATCACCAAATTTAATGTGAGACTCAAAATACAATTTTGCATTTCGTAACCAAGCAATTATGCCTCCTTCATCACTATTCATGAAATGGTTTCATTACCTCACTACTTGTGGAAAAAGGAATTTTCAACAATATACACATTTTTTTTTTTTTTTTTTACATATTTATGGGTATTTTTTAACTTTTATCAAAAACGATATTCTTGTACATGTAGTTATGGATAATATACATTAATGACTAAATTTTTTTAATTAATAACTATTTGTGCTCAGTTGTTGAAATTGATAGCTATCTGCTGATGTGTTAAAATTTTGGAATAATAAAAATTTTAATTTCATCTCTCTGATAGATGTCACAATCTGTTAATAAGGATACTTGTCCATGAATGAGTGGATCATATTAAAAGTAAGTAGACAAAACTTGTCTAAATTATTTAATGTGACATGTCTTTTTATATATATATATATATATATATATATATATATATATATAATATATATATATAATTTCTAAAGAATTTGGAATTTATTGTTTAATCCATCATATTTTTATTACTTCAAATGTTATTTTTAATGGATACTCGTATTTCAGTAGACGCTCAGTTTATTTTAAAATGTATTTAGTTTACCCACTTACATACTCTAGAAAACTTAATAAGGAAAATATGCTCCTTGACAGGACACAAACCTGCATCCTCCTTTGCAGGAGGAGCCATTGTCTAATCCAGCGTGGTTTTACTGTTCAGCTATGAAGGGATTCACAACAAAGCAAAGTTCAATTTGTAGAGCACATTCACTCATTCAGATTTCCTACATCTCAGTTTTGAATCTAGAACATAGATAAAATAAATTTAAAAACTAAATACTTAGCTGTCTTACCTGTGCGCATAAGGGGGTTCATGAATGTGCATGGCTTTTACACCTTCACAAATGCCAAGAAACACATCCCACAGTCGATCTTCATGAATTCTGTCTCCTTTTCTAGCCAACAACTCAATTCTGTCTTGTAGGGATCCTCTCTATAGAAGAAATAGAAAAAAAATGTTTCGAAAAAGCAAATATACTGAATTTAGAAAGCATCATTTTTATTGTATTGCTATAATCTGCTCAACCTAAATCTCTTGCTAATACTAATGTTGTGGGGCTCTCCCCTTTTTACATAAGATGGACTCGTCCAAAGTATACTTATACTGACAGAGAGAATACCTGCGGTTGAGATACGTGGAGATATGTTGAGAGATAGGGAGACAGACACAGGGTGTTCTCAGAGAGTTATACAAGAGTCCAGAGAGAGAGAGAGATGATTATGGCTTTACTTACAGAGACTTGTACATATACTTTCTACTAAATCGCATTCCTGGACTACTAATCTTCACTTCAAGTATGTATTCTTACGTTTAATACACTTATTTTTCTATCTCAATTACTGGCATTGTTTATTTATTTGTGCAGGATTCCATTCACGGAATCCACAACAATTGCATTTATCTATTTTCTCTCATCCATGATCTATACATTTAAAGGTATCAAATTTTGCTTCCAAATTGTCTAGGTTAAAATTATATTTTATAAAAAATATATAATTTTTTTGACTAATTACAATAATGGTAAGGAAACTAATTAGTGACTAAAACCCATTTGTATGATTTATAATCAGATTAACATCCTCATCTTTGTTTTTTTTTAAGCATTTCACCCCCAAGCAAGGTGGGAGTGCCACTAGCATGCAAGGGGGTTACAGGGAGTGAGAGCAAGAGTAAAGAGGGAGGGGCTACAGAGAGTGAGAGCAAGAGTAAAGAGGGAGGGGCTACAGAGAGTGAGAGCAAGAGTAAAGAGGAGGGGGCTACAGAGGAAAAAGAGTGAGAGCAAGAGTAAGGGAGGAGGCTACAGAGATGAGAGCAAGAGTAAAGAGGGAGGCTACAGAGAGTGAGAGCAAGAGTAAAGAGGGAGGGGCTACAGAGAGTGAGAGCAAGAGTAAAGAGGGAGGGGCTACAGAGAGTGAGAGCAAGAGTAAAGAGGGAGGGGCTACAGAGTTAGCAAGAGTAAAGAGGGAGGGGCTACAGAGAGGAGAGAGCAAGAGAAGTGGGAGGGGCTGAGTTACAGAGAGTAAAGAGGAGGGGCTAAGAGAGTGAGAGCAAGAGTGGGGAGGGTTGGTTACAGAGAGTGAGAGCAAGAGTAAAGAGGGAGGGGTTGGTTACAGAGAGTGAGAGCAAGAGTAAAGTGGGAGGGGTTGGTTACAGAGAGTGAGAGCAAGAGTAAAGAGGGAGGGGTTGGTTACAGAGAGTGAGAGCAAGAGTAAAGAGGGAGGGGGTTGGTTACAGAGAGTGAGAGCAAGAGTAAAGAGGGAGGGTTGGTTACAGAGAGTGAGAGCAAGAGTAAAGAGGAGGGGTTGGTTACAGAGAGAGAGCAAGAGTAAAGAGGGAGGGGTTGGTTACAGAGAGTGAGAGCAAGAGTAAAGAGGGGTGTTTGAAGAAAGGATAAAGAGAAGGGTGGAGATCAAGGCATCAGAAGATGTCGATTGACATTACATTTGAATATTTGAAGATTATAGCCATCAGGGATGCAAGTAGGAGGAAGGGAGTTCCACTGGCGGGAAGTGTGAGACAAGCAGCTGTTGGAGTAGAAGAGACGGCTACATTTAACCATTTCAATTTAATGCTGACAAGATTTTTTATTGCTGGTAATTTTTTTCAAAAAATGTATTGCTAGTAATAAAATCTATTTTTATACTTTCATAGTGTTAGTGTTTTGACCCCTTTTGCAGTTAACTATTTACCCAATAGCTGGGACCCTAATAGGTGCTACCACCCCGGGTCAGGGTGGACCTGTGAACACCAGCAATTAAGAGCTGGCTCCATGCTCATCAAAACCTCCTGATCAGAGGCCTTGCTGTCGGATGTAGTTTATTGTCATACTAAGGACAAGGTAATTTCTGTCTGAATTTCTGGAATGAGAAGTTATCATTATTTACACTATTTATCTTCAGACTATTATCCCAATCTTTGTTGTTATCACTAATATAACAACAACAAAGATGAGGATAATTGTTCAAATATAAATAGTGTAAATAATAACCTATGCTACCTTCAAAAAAATTCTATTCCAAGAGATTTTTCCTTTTTTGTTTTATTTTCTCTTTTTTAAGAGATTTACAGAATAAAAACATATGCTTGCCCAGAATTGACATTAAATTTACAAAATAAGTGTAATTGACCTTAGTGTTTCAATGCTTATTGAAATTTACTGGGTTTAGTCTGGCACAAGGCTACAATTAAGTTCACTACAGCAGTAATAATCTAGAGTAATTTGTTAACCATTGCTCTATGGCAAGGTATCAACTATTTATAAAGTTTTGGTTAGTCTGATATGTGATCGCAATATTTGAGGCATCAGTAAATAGCTGAAAATACCTGTTAACCACTGCTCTATGGTAAAGTATCTTCTATGTTTAGCTGAGTTTGATTTAGAGGTCACAAGAGCAAAGTTCTTGTAAGGACTGAACTCATTCTGTAAGCAAATGGTCTTATAACCTTTCAATGTTCATTCAAATTCTCTCTTCTATACAAAATGTGGCTATTAAATCACAGCCTAAATGCACAAATCAAATGGTATACACCAGATCCATAGAATAACTTTTTCTCTATTGTGCCTGAACTGTTCCCTAAAAAAGTTAAACTTTCTCAATTTTTTTCTTTTTTGAACTTGGTTATCATTTATCATTGTTAGTAGCAAAATAAAAATACTATAAAAATATTTAGGAAAGAAATATTTATTTTGACCCATTCACAATATTGAATCATTTGGTTTTTAAAGATTGTAACAAAAATTAAATGCACTATTTATTTGTTGCATATTTTCATGTTATTTTATGCTATCTTAACATTAATTCATGACCCATTTTTTAAATAAGTATTTTCATTATGTTACTTTTGGATACAAAAAAAACTGAAATATTGTCATCTAAACTTTGTGGGTCACATCATGGGAGCTCTTTGACCTGGAGATGTAAAATATGCACCATTCAATTTCTATCATGAAGCCCTATAAGTATATCAAATTTGAAAAAAAAAAAAAGATCAGTGTCACTGATGGTCAGACCCCTGTTGATTTGACATGGAATTATATATATATATATATATATATATATATATATATATATATATGTGTGTGTGTGTGTGTGTGGAGATGACCTTAACTTTGAATTGGATGGGGTTGGGGGTTGTTGCGGAGATGAGTAATGAGACCAATCTTTGCCCTGAAAAGTCTGTTGCAGTTGTTACATGGGATGCTGAGGCTGAACCAGGTTGTGAAGCAGACCTTTCAATCTTTGCTTTTCTGGTGTCTGTTCTTTGTCCCTGATTCTTTTCTCTTCAAAATCAGACACTATGGACGTTAAAAGGGAGTGCCAGACAGCACAGTTACCAGCAGACACTTCCCAGGTGGAATAGGGAATGCCTCAATGCTTGAGAGATTCCTTCAGCGTGTCTTTGTAACGTTTCTTTGGCCTGCCAAGTGAGTGCCTGCCTGGGGATAGTTTACCATCTTTGTGAGGCGACAGTCATCCATGTGGTGGGTGTGGCCAGCCCACTGGAGCTGATAGTGCTGTAGGATGGCACGGATACTCTTCATCCCAGCATGCTGGAGCACTTCAGTGTTTGTGACTGTCCTCCCACCTTATATGGACTAGGGTCCTCAGGCAGCTAATGTGGTAGGCATCAGCCATGATAGGACTACTGCTCTGTACACTTTGAGCTTGGTGTTAAGGCTCAGTCCTTGTCACTCCCAGACTTTATCCTTCAGTCTGCCAAAGGCTGCGCTGGCACTGGCAATACTGTAGGCCACTACCTCTTAAAGATATTCTACAAGGATCTGTAGGACACCATCTTGACAGTGCCCAGGGCAAACAAGCTCATCATTCTCAGTGATTTTAATGCCGGTGTCAGCAGAGATTATATGTCATGCGAGGGAATGATGGGCAAACATGGCATAAGCAAGTGTAACAGCAACGGTCTCCTTTTGCTGGAGTCCTATGCCGTTCATAGTTTTCTCATCACCAACACAGTCTTCTGTCTGCCCAACCGCAACAAGATGTCATGGATGCATCCGCAATCCAAACACTGGCATATTAAGGTCACGAGGACCTTGTGCGATGTTCACTGCTGTACAGACTACGGTCTGCTGATCTCCAAGATTAACCTCTGTATCACATCACCAAGGAGGTCACAAGGAATCAGAGTGCTCAAGCAAATGAACATCTCAAAGCTAAAAAGGACCTAATTAAACAAAAACTGGTAGAGGTGCTGGACAACAAGCTACCACCCCCTAATGCAGATCTGCACGTTGATGTGGAGGTGGAATGGGCTTGTTTCTGTGATACTGTCTATGCTGTAGCCTTGTGGGATCCATCACCTGCAAGCAACAGGACGGGTTTTACGACAACAACAGTCGCATACAGATTCTACTGGAGGAGAAACACCAACTCCACCGAGCACACCTTAACAACCTGTCCTCCACATCTAAGAAAGAAGCCTGCAAAGTTGTTTGGACTGAACTACGCCACATGCAAGATAAATGGCTTGCTGAGAGGGCTGATGCCATCCAGGCTTACACAGAGAAGAAGGACATGAAGAACTTCTACAGTGCTATCAAAGCTATGGACCCACTTCATCTGGGTCATCCCCACTTAGTGCAGATGGGAACACATTGGTCTCAGACAAGAAGATACTTGAGCACTGGGCAGAATATTTCAGTAGTGTAATCAACTGAACTTCAATCATCAACGAAGAAGTCATTGCAAGACTATCACAAGTTCCAGTTGACAACACACTAGCAGATCCACCAACTAGAGAAGAAGTTATCAAAACCATCAAGCACCTATCAAGAGCCAAGGAACCTGGCCCAAAACTGAATGAAAGCCGCACAGGCCTGTTCAGCTCCATGTGGAATCAAGAAAGGCTACCACAGGAACTTAAGGACACTTCCATTATCCACCTCTACAAGCAAAAAAGGAATATGAACGCCTGCGGCAACCACCATGGCATCTCCTTGCTTTTCCATTGCTGAGAAGATTCTGGTCCATGTTTTGCTTAACTGTCTCAATGCACAACTGAATGTGACCTGCTCCCAGAGAGCTAGCGTGGATTCTGTGCAGGACACAGTACTGTGGACAATGTCTTTGCAGCTCAAATAAAATAAAAAATTCAAAAAAAGCTTTATTTACAAAAATACTTACTGAATAATAAGGCAACAATGTGTCTCACTGCATATGTCTGTGTTTTTTGCAGAATATCAGGCTCTTGATGGCAACAACTTAATTTCAACCTGTGTGTTTTCATGTGTGTATATGTATATAAACAAATAAAATAAAAAAAAAAAAAAAAAATTTATTTACTTTTTCAGTATATTTAAAAGTTGAAATACTTACTGAATAATAAGGCATCACAATGTGCATCTCACTGCATATGTCTGTGTTTTTTGCATACCTGCCAACTGGCACTAAGACAAATTCTTCCAATGGAACCAAATTTTGATGCTTAAACAACCTCATAATTTCAACCTCCTGCATTGCAATGTTTTCATCCTCTTTGGAGTGGCACTTGATACGTTTCAAATTTAAAAAAAAAAAAAAAAAAAAAAAATTGTTAACGGTAAAATTTTCAATGTCATCTTATGATTAAAGATTTTTTTTTTTTTTTTTTTACTTCTATGAGGTCAATATTATAACTTTAAAGCATGAAACCCTAAAAAAAAAAAAAAAAACTGATTCAGTAAACTTTTTCTTTTATAAAAATTCATATGTAAGCAGATGGAAAAAGCTTACATGTTATGAAATTCAGTGTAAAAATCTTAAAAAAGAAATTTAGTTGAAAACAGCAAAAAAACTTTAAAAGTTATTTTTACATAAAATATAACAGAAAAAATATTTTTTTTTCCATATATATGTTTTATTTATTTATTTATATATATATATATATATATTATTTATAAATAAAAAAAACTGGACAAATTAATCCAAATATATGAACCTAATTAATTTTCAATGTATGTATAAATAACATTTTTCATTTTTTTACATTTTTTTTTTATAGATTACAAATGTTTAAAATATTTTCATTGTTAATGCTATATTACTTTATAATAAACATAGTAAGTAAAAAATTTTTTCCTAAAAGTATATGTAAATTACAATTTTTAAACTTTTAGGATACTGGCCTAAGAATTTCAAATTAGAAATTTTGTATTAATTCAGAAATGTTTGTCCTCGTACAAAGGACATGGGTTTCAAAAGCTTACCTTATGGCATTTCATATTAATTTTATTTTACTATCCGGGATTCTTTTTTGCGTGGATTATTTAAAAGAAACTTAGGTTAGAATTCATTCAATTTAACTTTAATTTTAGTTTCAATTTTTAAACAAACTTAAAACTTTTGAAATTTTCATTGTTAGTTATATTAGACTATATTACTTTATAACAATTTACTCATAGTAAGGCAAGTTAGGTTTATTTTACAAGGAACTTACTACAAAATTAGAATTTTCTCGGATTTAGTAAACTTTAAACTTCAATCTTTCATGAATCTCCAAGAACAGGTTAGAATTCATTTAACACAATTTTATTACTTTTAAAATTACCACATTAAAATTTTAAAATATTTTCATTGTTAGTTTTAATCTATATTACTTTATAACAAATAATTACTCATAGTAAACATAATTATTTTCCATAACAAAGATATGTAAATTACAAATTTTTAAAATTATACAAATATTTAAGTATGGCACAGACTACAATTGTTTTCTCAGACATTAAAAATTAATTTGTTTTTAATATGTAAAAGTTTATATAAAAAACAATGTGAAGTTTATTTAGTTTTTCATTTTTCAGGAGTGTTTTATCGGATTATTCAAGTGTTTGTAGTGAGCTTTTCAATACTTTTTTTAACTACAATTTTTTTAACGGTGTTTATGTTTTAATACGTTTTAACCAAGAATTTTAAATAACAGTTTAAAACATTTTTCCTGCCATTCAATTTTTTTTTTTTTTTTTTTTTTATATTATTTAAGAAAGATTTTGACAATGACGGCATATAATAGATTTCATTTCTCTGATTCAGATCTAATTTTTAAAACTTAGTTATATAGGATGCTTGTCTCTGTTTTAAACTTCAATTTTCATAATTAATAGAAATCAAAGGAAAACAAACTGATGTTTATGAAATAGACGTTTTAAGACGTCTTTGTACTAAAATTTATAAAAAAGTGAAGTCAAATTATTCTGATGAGTGACCAAGATTAGTTCTAATTAAGACAGTTAATGCTTGCCATTGGTAATTAATCATTAATAGAAATGGAATTACAATTTTTTTTGTACTTTTTACTCAAATTAAGGATCTAATTATATTTTATAAGAAATTAATCATTCAATGTCAATTTTTTTCTTTTAATTAAGATCTAATTATATTTTACAGTTGAAATGCAATGTCAATTGTTATCTACAGTCTTCTTAATTCTAGTTCTTTTATTGTTCTCTCTCTTTAATAATGTTTTCTTTTTCTCATATTCTCTCTTGCAGTAACCCCTTGTGCCTTAGTGGCTTTATTGCCTTGCTTGTGGTGAAATGATAAAAAAAGAAAGTTTAAACCGTGGATTTTATAGATTATAGATATAATAATCCTAATCTATCAATACCGCTGGTCTTAATACCTGACCAATAACAATTCCTCTCATCCTAATTTTAATGAATTTCTATAGTAAAACCATGAGCAATACTTTTACAGTATATTTATGAAAGCTTTATTTTGGCAGTTTTGCTTGCATTAATACTTCACCATTGAAAACTCCTTTTACATGATCTTCAAAATCAAGATTAAAAAATTACAAAATTGATTCCTTAATCATCAACTTTTTATCCCCACCAGCAGAAATAATTCTTTTGTTGTGACAAAATAAATTAATAATAGCGAAATAGTGGTGAAATGATGGCAATGTTGGATAAGGGTTGCATGGTTGCGGTTCTTGAGAAGAAATACGGGGATTTTATCCGAACCAGTAGCCTTTGTAGACTCAAGGCTTTTGATAAGTCTCGAAACAGCCCTGACTGATATATCACAAAGCTTGTGCTCTTTGAGGTCAGGTAAGGGAGAATCTGTCATCTAACCTAGAGTTAGAAGCAAAGAGCTTAGCCTTATTCAATGAGGATGAGATAACCCCAGAGCCATTTATATTGGAGGGTGTGGGTAATTCAGTTCACCCATCATTTGCAATGACTGAAATGGATAAAGTGCTTGCTTTTGTCCAGTCCTTCGGTCTACCGAGCTGTTGCTAGTGACCTCTTATTCTCTTAGTCTCATTAGTACGTACGCCATCACGCCAACAATGCGTCTCTCTCGTCTTCCTCCCAGTCTCGCTATTTATGTCCACGTTGGGGGCAACTAAAATTTGCATACAAGACTTAATTCTCGTTCGCCCAAGACTTCTGGTTTTATGAATTCAAGCTGGTTTGAATACTTAATCTTTTTTATTTTTTTCCTTTGTATGTCTGCCCACGATATGGGAATTTCGGAATAATCCATTTCTCTTTTTAATGCCTGTCGCGATCTTTCAACAGGACCTGACATGCTAAGCAAACTCGCTTAGAGGGCACTGATGGTTTGTCTCTATTGAGTATAGCATTTGCAATTTTTCACAATCTGTGAAATCTATGTTCTTTATTATCTACTTTAACTTGGATTGCTTCCACAGAGCTGCTCTTTGCATTTTCTAGGATGCTCTTGCATGAATTAAGTGCAGTTCTAAATAAGGCAAGGCTTCTTCTGCACCATTCACTTTGATAAAGACAGTAGTAATGTTTATGGTGGGCCAAGGCCAAAGAACATCCAGGCATAAACCAGGGTGGGCCGTTTGGCTTTTGTTAGTATTTTTTGTGAGGGATGAATCCACTCAGAAATGAGGGAGGTCATCTTGGAAGATCTGCTTTTGAAGAGATGAGAGACATACTTCTGCAATGTAGGATATGAAGCTATCCCAACCAGCTTTGTTATAGTGATAGAGTGTTCACTGAAACGATACATCTGAGGAGGTCTTTGCTTTTGCACCAACCTTGACAAATGTTTTGAGGTGACCGATCAAGGCAACACCCCCTGCGAAACATTGATTAGGATATGAAATGGGGGAACAGGTCTAATAGTTTAGCATGATGCCCAGCTGTATCGAGAACAGGAGTAGGCTTATCTACAATCAGGGTCAGCTCATACATAGTATTTCCTCAGCCCTCACTTTTGCTAGTTTTGTTTGAGTGGATTAGCCACAGCTTGCGATAAATGTTGGAATTGCCACAAATGTGAATGGCAGCTAAGGGATGAGTTCAGAGGATGTCATTAATTTCATTGACTATTCTGTCAACCATTACGATACCATCAACCTAAGGGTGATAAACAATGAAGACGAAGGATATGTTATGAACAAGGACCACCCAAAAACACATGATCTGGAAATCAGGGTCCTTGTTTCTGGAGTCTCTACCACAGGGAAACCCATCCTGGATATAGGCCCCAAGCCTGTGTCTATTAAAAGTGTCATATTTGGTGAGCAGGGATATGTTAAAGCACAACTCATACAGAGTAAGAGATGCTAATGAACCAAGAAAAATCATTATTCCTCAGTCATATGGTCTGTCTTTCTCACCAACTTGTACACTAACAAGTCATGAGCACCTCAACATGATGTAATGGCTAGTTTTACTAGATCACTTACAACTAAGTAGAGATTTTAACCCTCACTTTGTGCAACATCTAATCTATGCTTACTAAATCACAAATTATTGAAGATTCATCTCAATAGGTATGAAAAAAAAAAAAAAACACTCAGTTGTATAATGACTTAAAAGGAAAGAAATTCTGGCCACAAATCAAAGTCTTCACCAACCATATTTCCAGACCATATGAGACATGTGCACCCCCTCCACTATAATTTGGCAAGGTAAAAGAAATGTAAACTGTAATTATAACTTTAGTGTGTAATTGTTTTTTTTTTATATAGCTAGAATTTTTGGCGACAGGCTGATGTGTTGAAAGCCTCACAGTATTTAGTATTTTTGAAGTTATTTTAAACATTCTTTGTTGAGATTTACAAACTCTGTTTTTTTCAATTTAGCAAAACAATTGACAAAATTTGAATAAGCTGATTTGTTTGGGAAAATATTTTGAGAAAAATCCTGCTTAATAATTTCTTTAATTTTATAGGATTTCATGGTAAACAATATTTTTAAGAAAACTGATTTTTTTTCCTTTTTAATAGTAAAGAATAAATTCTTAGTATTTTTTTTATTCTTGAGCATGCAACATACAACTGGCCATGCGTAAATATTTCTTCCTGGAGCCAAATTCAAACTTTTTGGGGTGTTTGGCCTTGTGATTTGTTTATAGTTCTCACAAATGCAGGGCAAACTGGA